TCACAAATGCAAATTAGGCGGTTTTTACAAGAAACATCTTACAGAAAAGTAAACAATGTACATTTATTGATGGTCTTCGTCATCGGATTTTTCAATATTCTTACAATGAGCGTTACATTTACATTCAGTACAACAAAATACATCCTCTGTTTCGCAAATGCACTTCTGTATTGAACATGTTTTTCTGTACGCAGTAAATTCATACACCCAAATGGTCTACTGGTTAGCGCTGTCAACTTTCAGTCTGAAGGTCCATGGTTCGAATCGCTGTGAACTTGAACTTTTTTTTGCAACTTTCTTGTTTTTTTACTTCATTCGGGTTTTCTTTTTTCATAAAATATTTGAAGTCAAATAGGTTAGTGCGTTTAGGATAAACAGTCTCATTTTATTCAATTTTGTTGAAGAACTCAACTTTTGAAATATATTATTAATCAATGTGTTTTTACACTCCATTCGGTTTTCCTTCCACAAAAATATTGCAATCAGGGATAGGTTAGTTCGTTAAGGATAAATAGTTTCTGAGTTTTGCCTAAGTACTTCGAAGATGAGATATTACGGTCGGCGTGGTTTGTGCTAGCGTACAGTATATTTAGTAAAATCGCAGCCAGGAAAGTAGTTGTTTTCTGTTGAATATACTGAGAAAGAATTGATAATTTCATCACATACCGAATGCGAATTCTCTATGTATTTCTTTATATCTAAATAAACAGGTGCGGAAAAGTATGACTTTCGGCATTTGTTAGGTAAACTACATTTTTGTCTAAACTCGACAATGCGAAGATCAATTATTGTTTTATTGATTGTTCTATCTCAGATTCACAGAGGCTGTTCAAGAAACTGCTTAGGAACTGGTGATGGGTTCAGTTTTGACGAGTGGATATGGTCAATATTATGGAAAATTAGTCTTCAAGTTCTGAATGGTTGGAGATGACATTTCGAGAATCACACAGATTAATATTAGCTTTGAGTATTCACACTCAGTTTTCATTCGTAGGTTACCCGATTTCATCTTCGAATTTTGTCCGCCCTATATCCTATTTTTATCTGGTGGCGCCTATGGTCCAAGGTCACCTGATATAGATCAGAATCAGAATCAGATAGACAAGAACGTTTATTTAATAGCTTCCATAGTGAGTTTTACAAGAACGTTTATTCAATGGCTTCCATATGTATGTATGTATGTATCAGCATTTTTTCATCAATCCCTATCTACAGCACCGCACTAATTATCGTTAATAAATAATTCTCGAAACTAAATTCCGTAGCTGAACTTCGATTTCAATCTAGTTTCGTATCACCTTCTTCCTTTTTCTAGAAATATGGGTACAAAATACAAAATGAATGAATTTGGGTATGACATAGATTCATATAAAGAACATCCAATATCTTGTATCTATAATCAAACTTTGAAAACTCCAAAGTTTGTTGTGAAAAAAAAATTGTAAAATTGTTTTATCCGTCATTCGGTTGCCCCCTTACGAGCAACCCTCAGAAGTCTTCGAAAGTCTTGTGCGAGCAAGGAATGACGGGGGCCTTACCTTCTAACGTGTGATCCCAAACACTTGTAACATGCCAAACACCTATTTCTCGAACCCTTCTCTCAACTGACTTCAAGGAATTGTAGTTTTTAAGAAAATACTTCAAATAAACACTTTCTTCTCCATATAGCAAAAAAGTTGGGTGACGTTCATATATTTCATAATGAAATGTGGTCATTCATCACTTCATATCATATGAACGATCTTATTCTCGAGTGTACAAGAGCAATAGGAACATAAAAGCAGGTGGAACTGAAAGTATACGTAGAATCCCCACATGACGTGAGAGCAGGCAACACTGTGACCGGCGTTCGCTCTGCGCGTGACTGGTAGGCCTCTCTGCAGTCTGTCATTTTACGGTTCTGCTGCATTACATTCTGATGAATTCCGATTCTGCCAAAGTACGGTTTTGATTTTTTACGGTTCTGCTGACGTACAGTTCCTATATTTCACGATTCTGTCGATGTACGGTTCTGAATTTTTACGATTCTGTTATTTCACGGATCTAACATTATACTATTCTGCTGAATTACGGTTCTGATAGTTCACGATTCGATCACAATACAGTATATGACATTACAGTCTGATGAAGTACATTCTGTCATTGTACGTTCTGATATAATATGATTCTGATGGAATACGGTCTGTTGTATTACGAGTCTGTCGATGTACGGTTTTAGCATTTTACGATTCTTTCAATTTACAGTTCTGATATTTTGAGATTCTGTGAATATGCTGTTCTGATTTTTTGCTATTCTGTCAATGTACGGTTCTGACATTTTACTATTCTGTCGATAAACGGTCTGTTGTATTTCGATTCTGACAAAGTACGGTCTGCTAATGTGCGGTCTGTCATTCTGCGATTCTGACGAATTACGGTCTGTGTTGTTATGATTCTGATGAAATATCATTCCGCTGTGATGTTGGTTTGTTAGTTTTCGATTCTGTATATTTGCGGATCTGCGATATTGCTATTATAGAAAAATACACATCTGCGCATTTGCAATCTGTTATTGTCTGGTATGCTCATGTACAATATACAAAATACGGTTTGAGGGATTGCGGTTCTGTGCATCTACAGTAGAGATAAATACGATTCCTATAAAATATTGTTCTGTTAAGTTACTGGTTTGAAAATGTATATTCTGATGGATTACGGATCTGCGATTTTACATTCTGGTGATTTATGTGTTCCCAGCCGTATGATGGTAGTTTGTGGAGGAGTCCTTCGTGACAAACACGGTCGAATGCTTTCGATATGTCCAACGCGACAGCTAGAGATTCCCCGTGTTTTTCTATAGAAGATTGCCATAAATGGGTGACGTAGGCAAGTAGATCTCCAGTAGATCTTCGGTGGCGAAAGCCGTATTGTCTATCATTGATGATTCCTGAGCTCTCCAGATATTTGATAAGCTCAATATTGATGGCTTTCTCCATCACTTTGGAGATTACTGATAACAGGGCAATGGGCCTGTAGTTGTTGGGCAGGTTCTTGTTCCCTTTTCTGGGGATTGGTTGGACTCTAGCTGTCTTCCAGCATGATGGAAAAATACCCGACCTGTACGAGATGGTAAACAACTTGCAGAGAATCGGTGTTATTGAATATCGAGCCTTGTGATTTTCACGATCCTGTCCTACTTTTTTGTGAAAATCAAAATGACCTTATCAGATTTTGTATAACTGTTCATGAAATACAGGACAATTTTGGAAATATATTCTTCATGGACACCTTCTATATCTATACAAAGTTTTTGGAAATTAGGCAGCGCTAAAACTACGTCTAATAGAGAATGCTGCATAGAATCTAGTGCAGTTATTTTTTTTGGGGATTGGTTCTGTGATTTATTACTTCGTTTGATGGTTATATCGTATGCTGACGACATAAATATACTAGTCACGCAAAAGTATCTTGAAAGTCTTGTGGAAACAACGGAAACTGTCTATGAAAAAGCCATATGTTGTGGTCGAATGAAAACTCGTCAATATCCAGAAAAAAAAATTCCTTGCGTAGTCAATCCGACACTATCTCTATTTTTGATGAGAGCATGAGAGTCGATGCAACAGAAACAACAAAATTACTTGGTATTATTATTGATAAATAAATGGATGAATATTATGTCCAATCAGAGAAGCAAATCTATATAATTAGGCCTAACATCAACAGTCAATTGAAATATGGGATACTTCACTATGGTACCTGTACATCATGGGAAAGAGTATTTGTTCTACAGATAATGACAATAAGAATAGAAGAAGGTCTCGGCTGGAGGGATTCTGGTACCGTAGCATGCTTGTCCGTTCGAAAAGAGAGAAATTTTCTTCAAATGGAGAGAATCACTAGTATGAAACAAGATCAAGAAATATAGTTGTTTCAGGTCCGCACCAGATACAAATATTTCAGAGAAGCCATCAGCTATATCTTGGCTCCAAAATCTTCAACAAATTGGATGATAGAATAAAACTGCCCCCAATAAAATATACATTCAAGTAGAGATTGAAAATCTTCCTGACAAATGAAAATATCTATACTATTGACGAATTTCTGTCATGATTGTGTGTATCAACAGAATGTGTTGTTCTTTATATCTTACTCACAATGTATGGATTATTAATTTATTTACACATATTTCAAGTTGCATTCTTTTACAGCTGTACTTTTCAACAAATGAGATAATATCTATTTATCTATCTATATACGTTATTGTTTCAGTGAATAGGAATCATCAGAAATGTTGAATGGATACTTGAACATTAATCAAAGTCCTGAGGGGACAGAAGGACGATCTAGCCATCATGGACACGGATTTTCAGCTAGCCTAGTGCAACTGATGAGGCTTATGGCAAGCCGAAACAGTCTAACTTCGAGATATTTCAAAGAACCTCTATAACCTTCAAAAGTTCAACAAAATCCCAATTCCTACTTCCTTCCTCATTATAGAGATGAGGTGAAGAAATTGAAATATTGTTTGTCCCAATAAAGAATATATATGTTAATTTGTGTCGCATCTTCAGAACCGTACATCGAAAGAAATATTTGAATACGCTACTGAATTCTGCGCAGAATATCAATATCAAAATCATCGCTTGGAATCAAATTACAGAATGAGAGCTATTGTTGACTCACTCGTAACTTGTGACTTCTGAAAAATTGAAAGCGATAGAATATGATCGGAATATATTCAATATGAAATGATTGAAATGGGTTTCATTGTGTATCACCTGTTTTCAAACAACGTAGGTCTCTACTTTCTTTCACGTTGTCCGGGAGAATCAGTTTTGCACTCGGTTCAAAAATTGCCATTTTTTTGACATTGACATATTGGGGAGAGAGAATCACAATATCACACAGGTAGAAACAACTTACTCGCTATTCGATACAAAACATATATAATAATACAAAGTACGTACATCAGTCTTCTATACAAAATATATACACTTTTCACACTTCACAATAATCAATCATCATAATTTTTCCCCGCTCATTCCCATCATGTTATAGTAGGAGTGATCAGGAAACCGCTCCAGTTCGATGTAGTCAGTTTCACTCAGCAACAATTTTTCTAAAAGTTCTACGCATTCGCAAAACGATGGTCTTTCTTTGGGGTCCTTATCCCAGCAGTAGTACATTATATTGTAGAGTTCTCTTCGGCAGTGTTCGGGTTTGTCCAATCGATATCCATCGCGAACCTAGAAGAAGAATCATATCAATAATGGTCTAAGTTACAATAACATAGTGAGCATAGAATATACAGTGTATTTCAGCGAAACTCATCTCTCCCTTCATCTGCAATCCTACTGAGCAAATTTGGAAGCTATGTTGATGCAAGGTTGAAGCAATAACTGGGACGGACGTTGAGCAATATTGCGAATGTGAATTTGTGAATATAACATTCCAGCAATGTCACAGCAACATATGTTATATTGCTGCAATGCTACATTATCAAACTTCACCTTTGCAATATTGCTGGAGGACCGTTTCAGTGATTGCTTCAACATTGCATCAACTTTGCTTAGTGGAGATTCTCCGAAGTTAAAGAAGAAGGAAACTTTCCCACCATCTGGGTGACCCGGAACCAATTAACCCCCCTGTATCTTCGTTACCATCTTCAATGAACGTTTTCAATTTGATACATCGATTTGATTGCATGAGTGTATGATTTTTCTAGTTTTTTTGAAAGTGCATCCATTTTTTACATCTCGAATACAAAGTATAAATATGTTCTGTTTATTACGATTCCAAACCTCACTAACGATATAGATCACAATCATATTCTCAATCCACAATATAGTCTTATGATTGATAATCTCATAAATACTTTCGTGTTCAGGACTTCAGCCTGCAATCCTCACGCTTGATCTGAAGAAATGCCATCTGCTGCAGAAGAGAATTATAAACTTGGGACACGTCGTAGGAAGTAGGTAGAGTATGGAGGTAGGTAGAAAGGTACGAGCAGTCAAACAATGGCCACTACCAAGAGATAAGCACCAACTCAGGAGCTTCCTTGGACTCTGCACTTACTATCGACATTACGTTCGGATGGTTTCGGTTATTGCAAATTCTCTAACTCGCCTCATCAGGGAAGCACTTTCCTTACACTGAGATCCAGAATGCCAGGCCGCCTTTGATGCTCTGAAGAATCGCTTGACCACGACACTGATTCTGGGGTGTCCGCTTCCACAAGGACAACTAATTGTTGACATAGATGCCAGCAAAATTGGCATAGGTTACTTCACAAGGAGCTATCGAAGGTAGAACGAAACTACTGCGTTATCAGGAGGGAACTATTGGCCATGATAAAATCAGTGGAGCACTTCTGAACGCTGCGTTGAAGTAGCTCCTGAATTTCAAGAACATTGAAGGTTAAGTAGCTCGTTTGATCGAGAGGCTCCAGGAATATGACTTCGAGATAGCACACCGAGTGGGGACAAGCCATAAAAATGCAGATGCATTGCCCAGAAGGCCATGTCCAACTGACTGCTCACATTGTAGTCGCTTGGAAAATAAGGAAGGTCCTCTCTGCAAAATCAATGGATGAAAGCGAATCGCCGCCCTACTTTGCGAGACGTAGCAACACCTTTACTAATCTTGAAGGCATATTGAATTCAGTGGAACTCTCCGATATCAGAAGACGACCTGCTGGAGAGGAATCTTGACAGCGATGACGGCTCGAATAATCGGATACAGGATACTAGGAAGCGAGTATCGGAAGTACTTGTATATGTTCATGATGGAACTTCGGGGGAGACATCCAGGAGTGAAGGAAACACTGCATCGAATACGTGAGCGGTTCTACTGGGTGAACTGCAGTGACGACGTCAGGTAGTGGTGAAACAAACCAACCCATAGGGAGGTATATCAGCAAAGCTGTTGTTCAACCCAAGACTGGGAGCCAGATCTCTTTTTCTTTTCGATGGCCTACAGGTCTGCCGTACAAGAATCTATAGGACATACTCCGACGAAGATTATATTGGGACAAGAGATAAGACTACCATGTGAATTGATTCGTTCTCATCTGAAAATTTTCCAGCGATCGCATATCGAAGACGGATACGACATTAGAGCTTGGGGAGCAAGATACGCAGAAGAAACCTAGTGTACTACCACAAAGGCAACCAGTTATTTGTCCAAAACCACACATCTACCGCATCAGTAAAGTACTCAGGGAACACAAGATCATCAACAAGTTCAATGTCCGGAAGAGAAGAAGCTCACATTCGACGAATTCATTGGGACTTACAGTGGTTCATCAGAAGCAAGGTTTGGCGTTACGAAATAACAGAACCGCGACCTTCTTGCCACTTCTGTAGATCACGCGCTAACTCACTGCGTCGCCGAGGATCTCCTGATATCCCAAGGAATAGCCAACAAATTCATAGGAAAATTCGGAAAGTTGGAGCAGCTTATTAGAGCAATGAGAATAGAAGATATCAGGCCGAAGGACAAAGGTATCTGTTCCATCTAATAACAAAAGGAATATTTTCTGAGAAACCCTTTTACAAGGACCTCAGGCATTCGTTAGTCGACTAACGGAGTACCATACTCGAGAAGAACATGCTGGAGGTTGTATTTAGATTCACCGGAGTTGAAATTCTGGCATGCTGCTGAAACTTCAAAGGATCATCAAGAGAGAAGACCAGTGCCATGCTACTTCTACCATACTGCACGTTATAGAAATGATGATGATAATAATTTTATTGATCTTGTGATCAGTTATATACAAATACAGATACATATCAAAATTCTTTGGCGTCACCAAAATACAATACCGTATATCAATCAGAAAATATGTATTGACAAAGTTATTCACGACACACCAAAAGCATCTCTATTTCTCACAACTAATACAAAAAATTCATGAATACAATACAGTGGGTTTTTAATCAAAATATGCTTCATGAACTCCTCGAATTTCTTCATTGGCAATTTTCGAAAATCAGTTGGCAGTGTATTATACAGTTTGATGCCTATATTATCTGTTTTGTTTTTCAGTATATCTTCGAATATTCTATTGATTTTCGTAGACAATAACTGAATATAATATCATTACTTTGAGATTCTTGAATAGTGGTCTGCACGTTTCTTCAAGTTTAGCTGATGCTATACTTTTTATGGCAAATTTTCGTAGCACAAATACTCTGTAGATTAGCTTGAATGCAAGATAAATCTGTCAATTGAGCCTCAATTGCACGATGAATTTCGCAATTAGATCAAATGGAAGATAAATCTGCCAATTAAGCCTCAATTGTAGGATTGATCTTGTATTTAACTAAAATGCCATGTCCGTTCAGACCTTCGTAAAAATGTACCTACAAGAATTAAATGAAGATAATCCTGACATACGTACAGCGTTTTCATTAGTCGTGATGAGATAATAACAATGTGTGCTTTTTTGACTAATCCTCATTCAATTTGAACAGGCATAGGTAAGTGCGTAAATCCTCAATGGTATAGGAAAAATAATTCACAAACTCTTCAGAAATCAATGTTCGGGCTCATCTATTTCTTTGATGATAACTTCATCTGACACCCGTATCTATCCCGCTCAGAGACGATGATAATCTACTCGAAAGTCAGCTCACCTCGCAACAAGATGGAGCTCCTCCACATTTTGCTGCACCTGTACGTCAGTTTTTAGATTATTATTTTGTTCATAGGTCAACATGTGATGTTTTCGTTTTTTCAACCAATATCAATGCGTGATTCTAGCATATCATTCGGTATCATACTGAAAATTTGTTAGTAGCAAATCCAGCGACAATATTCTTCACATTTGGTTCATCGATTTTTTATCACGCCGAATTACATGTGAAGTGTTAATTTGTCTTTATAATTTCATCTAGATTGGCACTCACCATTGTTGCTACCGAAATCTCCCGAGTGGACGTGCAGCTAGTTAAAATTATCGAAAAATTACCACTACTTGTGTAATCACTGTTGAGAATTTACCAGGGAGATAGATCTCCTGATCTATCTTCTTATGGGGACATTTGAAATCCAAAGTTATTATCATACAACGTAATTCTCTTGATGATCTACGCAGAACAATTGTAGATGACTCCAAAAATCGCTCATACTTCTATTATGGAAATGAATGGTTCACATTTCGAACCATACAATATGATAGCAATCTTGGTAATGAAATATAACAATATCTCTTGATGACATTTCTACAACACACAATTGATTCTCACTCGCATCACACTGATGTATTTGTGATTGATTTCCCTTCAAAAAGATGTATCACAAGAGTATAGTATTGTGCGCATAATAGTCGAATACACTGCGAACTAAAAGATCTATTGTGCCTCCTTCGTTGGTGATATCCGATGAACTTGTTCTCCTTAGTTGTAGCAATTTGCTCAGTCCAAACTCCCTCAGAAAAGTTTCTCCTCGAAATTGAAAACGACAGGTCTGGGTGAGTTTCAATTGAAATGAAATGAAGTGAACTGCATTCCAGGCAAGATAGTAGTTATAGACTTTTTTCCAAGACTCGAGGGTTTAGGCGTTCAAACCGAAAATCAAATGAAACGTCATCATAGTTGAATGCCCCTAAAGAAACGAACACACTAGTCAAACATCACTCAACTCATTGCGAAGCCAGATTTCAAGTCCTAAATATACAGGGTGTTCTTCAAAGACACGCTAATATTCGGGGGGGGGGGTTATTCTTTGACATATTTTAAGAAAAAAACTTTTTATGAACGAATGTCCTCAAAGTCTCAACTTTCGAGATACCATATCTCATCAGTTTCAATTAATCAGTTTGATACAACATTATTCAGGTACAAATACAGGGTGTTGAAGTTTTGAAACAGTTTTTTGATGATAACTGAAACAATATTGCATACATCTCCATGAAATTTGGTAGACATCCTTCATGCAACAAGATGCATTTTCTGATGTACAAAAAGCTCCATTTCCTCTACCAGTGGCACCGTTACGGGAATATTATTGTTTATATTTTACTTAACAGTGAGCAACGACAAACAATTCTCAAATCTCATACAATGTCATGGGACTATTCAATTATGTACAAAAAAGATCCTCTTGTTGATACTCAATGAAACTCTTCGTTCTCAAGAAAAAACGGAAAGACGAGATCAGACCTCGAATGTCTGAGTACTCCATTCAAGGACATCCATCAATAAATAAACACAGTAGGTATGTAGCATTTTGAAAATCGTATTGCGATTCAGTCATATAGCAGACTCAATTTTGCCATCACGGAAAGCTATACAGGGTGGACAAGAAAAAAATCTATGCATATTTTCAACATTGACACCCTGTATCTCAAAAGTTAGGACTTCACGACATACCGTTCATATGAAGTTCGGTTCTTGAAATGAGTCGAAGAATCGGCACCTTGAATATTAGCATATCATTAGGGAACAATCATATACAGTGTGTCCCACTTACCATGCTCACCATGGGTATCTTTTAAACGGTGAGAGATACGAGGTCGGTTAAATGACACCAAATGTGGAGTTTGTCAAGGCCAACTATAATGTGAGAAAAAATTTTGATAAAATCGATTCGTTTTTGTCTTATACGCAAAAAACAGATTTTGATCATTTTCATGTCTCCTCCGTAACTTCTTTATTTATGAAAATATTCAAATAGGAATTTCACATTCTCATGGCAGTTTTTCAAAGTGATTTCGAAAAAAATATGAAATTTATACCAACTCTTCTAGAATTTGAGATATCAGCACCAACTTCAGTTTTCCGAATGTAGGTCATAGCTCACTATGACTTAGTTACAAATAACTTTTTTTTCTCTTCCAGATGATATGTCGCAGTAATAATTTTGTGTTGATAACAACGGAGTTATCGTCATTTATACAAGAACAAAAAATTATTTGGAAGCCGTTATCTTGAATTTATAAATTTCAACAAAAAAATCGTGATCTCCGACCTCAAAAACCCCCACTTACCAATTCTGAATGGAATCGGACCAAATCTTGTCCGCCATCTTGGAGCAGCCATTTTTTTAAATTCCAACAAGAATTCCATAATGTATTGTCACCAAAATTATGAACACCTGTCAAATCCCAAGTTAATCGGAGTTATGGAATTTTTGTTGAAATTGAAAAAAATGACTGCTCCAAGATGGCGGACAAGATTTGGTCCGATTCCATTCAGAATTGGTAAGTGGGGGTTTTTGAGGTCGAAAATCATGATTTTTTCGTTAAAATTTATGAATTCAAGATGGCGGCTTCCAAATAATTTTTTGTTCTTGTATAAATGACGATAACTCCGTTGTTGTCAACACAAAATTATTACTGCGACATATCATCTGGAAAAGAAAAAAAAGTTATTTGTAACTGAGTCATAGTGAGCTATGACCCTCATTTGGAAAACTGAAGTTGGTGCTGATATCCCAAATTCTAGAAGAGTTGGTATAAATTTCATATTTTTTTCGAAATCACTTTGAAAAACTGCCATGAGAATGTGAAATTCCTATTTGAATATTTTCATAAATAAAGAAGTTACGGAGGAGACATGAAAATGATCAAAATCTGTTTTTTGCGTATAAAACAAAAACGAATAGATTTTATCAAAATGTTTTTTCACATTATAGTTGGCCCTGACAAACTCCACATTTGGTGTCATTTAACCGACCTCGTATCTCTCACCGTTAAAAAGATACCGATGGTGAGCATGGTAAGTGGGACACACTGTATATGCAGAATCTCAAATTGGAATCCATTGATGTTATGAGGTGTGCTAAGTGATACAGAAAGAGCAGAACTTCCAATTCGTACTCAGAAGTCTTAGAGTTTGAGTCGATGGTACATGTAATTTGAGTCCAGAAGTCCTGAAGAGACTAGCAGTGGAATACTAACCTTCTTCATAACTTCCACAGCCGACATTCCTGGATACGGTGTACTTCCCAAGGTCACCACTTCCCATATTAGAACGCCGAAACTCCAGACGTCAGACTTCACAGTGAAGATGTTGTCATAGAGTGATTCAGGAGCCATCCATCTAGAAGAAAAAACTCATCTACTTATTGGGAAATCATACTGTTCCAAGTTCAAAATGAACAATTGCAAAATATTGGCAACTAACAATTATCCGGTAAGGTTCTTCCACTATCTCCCAACGTTATCATTTCCTGTCGATACTTATAGACATATATCTACATAACTATCACCTCCAATTCACTTTCGAGACGATTCTAGATTCCTCCTAACCTCTTAGAAAACTTATTACACATATTTTTTTTTCAGTGATGGAAAAATGTTTGACATTTCATCTCTATTGAGAGGTCTTAAAATTCCTATTTCCATAAATAACTCTTTTTCCACGTAAAATAGTTATTTATTATACAAGGGAAAAAAGTATTAGATTTTAGCTCCAGGTTCTGTTGTCTCCAGACGCGTAGGGAGACAAAAAACCGTGAGCTAAAAGCTAATATTTTTCCCGTGTATAATACACTTCTTTTCTGTGACAGAGGACGAATCAATATTGAAAAAATATAACATTATTTTGAAATCTGAAAATTATCGACGTGAAATTTTAAGTTTTTAACAGTAGGAACACCTACGTTGTAGGCATCTTTATCATTCTTTTGAAGTGATCAAATATCTGACGTCACTTATGTCAATGTAATTCTGTGATTTGATTTCAAAAAATTGCGAATTTAGTGGTTGTTTAGTAATATACGTAACCGCGAAGTCGAACGGAAGATAAATGGATTTGCAGTTCTTTCTCGGAGACGGTATATTATCGACCACAAAAGCCATCAACAGTATATACATGTATATGTGATATATATCCGGGAAAAAAGTAACCATTTATTTGCCACGGGAAAAAAGTAATTTATGAAAAGTGACATTTTACAATAACCTGCCAACAGAAATGCCAAACTTATTTCCCGTCACAAAAAAAGTCCTTTTTTCCTGGATATACATCAGTCTGTCCCGCTTTTCATGAGTACACTGATATCCCAGTTATTAATAGTGCGATTCTCTTGAAGTTTCTATAGTGATTGTATGTCACAATGAGGAAATATTTAGCAGAATGAACAGTATTATTCACCATTGGCGTGCGATGTTGAGGGGTACAAAGAAGGCCTTCATTTGGAAAAAGTATTAGGACTCATTTTGAACAATTCATATTTTCAAGATTGTAAGAGCTGATATAGAATATTTCAGAATCCAGCTTTTCATGACAACAACCTTATGAGGACTGAGTTATCAACGATGCGATTTTCTTGGATTTTTCACGTTGATTTTATGTTAAAAAAATCACATACATTCACAATCACAGTTTCGAGAAAATCGCATCATCAATAATTGAGATTTCGGGGCCTAGTCATGAAAAGCGGGATTTCGAATTTTTCTTGAGATTTTGAAAATATGAATTGAAGGGTTTTCGGGGATGCTGATTCTGAATCTGATAAAAACAGTTATTTGAAATAGGCCCTCACTGAAAAATGACTTTTTTGTACCCCTTGACATTGCACGCGAGAGGTGAATGAAACTGGTCACTCAGCTAAATACTTCATTGTTATAACATACAATGACCACTAAATTTCCAGAGGATAAAATCATTGATAACTGAGATATCAGGGTGTATTCATGAGAGCGTACTTGGATTACTAAACAACCCTCGAAACAACCACTAAGTTAGCAATTTATAAAAATCAAATCACAGAATCAGACTGACAGATATTTGATTACTTTAAAAGAATGATGAAGATGATGCCTGCAAAAAGATGCTTGCAACGCATGTGTAATTCCTGTTAAGAACTTCAAATGTCACGTCGATCGATAATTTTGAGATTTCAATATAATGTAATATTGCACAATATTGATTCGTTATCTGTCCGGTGACCTGTAATATACGCGACCTCGAGCTGAAATCTAATACTTATAATAAATAACTATTTTTCACGTTTCATTGACATATTGATATACATGAATACATTATTGATTCAGGTTCCTCAAGTATTTGAAGTTTTAAAATCAAACAATTCCATATTTTTTAACTAAAGTGCTCAAAGAAACAAGTGGACCACTGAAATATTTGACAATTCTCAAACTGCCATATCTTTTTAAAAAATGAATGGATTTTCAATCGGAATGCAGTGCAGAACTCGTCGGAAGTTTTTCTGTCATTATACACCAAGTCTTCAAAAAAAGTATTACAAAAATGAAGAAATTCAAACGCTTCCGAATTCCAGGGAATATTTTTTATTTTCCTATTGAGCGTTTTTTCCGAACGTTCAAGACAATAACCCGAAACGGTTTTGTGATTTTCCATATTCCTTATACAGGATGTTGAAAATCGATAATTTATCATTTCTAGTTTTTTATCACATCATTTCCGATTTTGAAATCATGCCAGCCACATTCAACATATTTTGCCACTCCATACGATGGAACACATCCTAAAGAATGGATTCATATTGCGTTGAAATCATCGAAGTCAAGGAACCTGAAAATCCATTCATTTTCCAAAAAGTTATGGCAGTTTGAAAATTGTCGAAAATTTCATTGGTCCACTTGTTTCTTTGAGCACTTTATATTAGTGTCTGGCTGTCCCTTTTCCATAGAAACATTATTATTCTTATTTAGTATTCGGAGATATTTAGGTAGTTGTTTCTTATATATCGTAAGAAGCTGAGGAAAAAACCTATATACCTTAATTATCATCACCTATTGACTCAATAATATCAGTCAGATGTTATGTACAAGTGATAGTATATTACGTAATGTGTTGTAGGAAGCATAATATTACGCACGAATGGAAAAATCGCGTAATTGCTTCACAACACGCATTACGTAGGTACTATACTTAACCTAGAGTCACTGGATGATATTAGTTTGATAAGAGTTCGGACACAGCTGAACTTTTGTCCTTTTCTATTTTCTATAATACAATGGTTTAAGTGAATGAAAGAATAAGACATATATTTTGCTCTTTGTCTTTTCAATTTCCCTACTAGCGCCTGCTTGTCTGATACCATTTTAAAGGTTATATTTTCTGTCATATCAATCATAGCCGTAGATGGACAATGGATATAGGGTACAAACACCCACTTCAATTCATAGTGATACATTTCTAGCAGAACAACTGTTATATTAATGAAAAGTATATATTATAATTCCTTATTGTATGTGAAACATAAAGGAAGTAACATAAGTCTCGACATAAGTACGTTTAAGTGAAGTATTCTTGAGACAATTCTGAAAAATTTGGCTTTAAATAACTGAAATGAACGATTCAAACGAATGCAAATCGTATTGAGATATTTTTCGAAGAAAATCTTCTTTGATTTTATATTGATAGGTTGCCCTAAAACTCAACAAATAGGCACTTGGCTAGAGCACAGCTGCTTGTTTGAAATAATTTCCTCTTTCCACTGAATGCGCATAACGTTCACGCAAAGCCCGTTGCAGTACTTTCAGTCAGCTGTTTAGTGTTTAATATTTCATTAGTTACAGTCTTCTCTTATTTGCACCGATTTTTTTTTCAGTCTATTGAATCTCCTTCGTGATTTCCATCAATAAATCCATTACACGACCATATCCTAAATCTTTCCTGTGAATGGAATCCACGTAGAATAAACCTTCTAAGAGTTATACACAGTTTTTTTTGTTTTCCCAAAATTTTAGATCCTGTAATAATTTCCTTTCTCTGCTGAGCGATTCGAATGACCTTCAGTACATCAAATCTGTATGCACAGTAAGCGTCAATAATGTGCTTATTGTCTACCTTGAAGGTTACGCTGTTATAATGGAAAATCTCCAAGTTGATTCGTGCTTTATTTGTGAGAAATTGTCTTCTCCAACTTTGTATGGAACATGTTTTGTCGGAAAAGCCACCGTTTTTGAGTTATTATCAAATAAGCAAGTTTTTGTACCTAAAATCCAAGATGCGCCTCGAGATCGAAAACTTGGGTTTTTCTAAGGGCCCTAAACCTAACAACATACTGAAAAATTGCTACTACCCCACCCTTTGCATTCAAAAAACCTCTTACGTATTGGACTATAATATGCGGTTCAGATTGCAGCCTTTGTAGTTCAGGAGGCCCAATGTGGACACAGGAGAAGAGTACGTAATCAGAGTGGATACATACGGCTTTATCGATGTGTCAAGGTATAGAATGTTTGCAAGGTCAGGTAACGATAACGTCAGGAGGAACCATGATTGTCATCTTACAGTGGTAGCTAGTACAAATGGCGGTCAATTCAAGATGGCGAATCATGGCTTTATGAAAATGGCCATATCTCAGGAAATGATTGTCCGATTTATCATTTCCAGAATTCGAATGGAAGGTTATAATGTGTTCTATTTTTCAGATCCCATAGTAATTTTGGGTATTCACAGCCGTTCATTGAGAAAACATGTTTTTTTATTTTCTTAACAATTTTTTTTATATTTTTTTTCAATTAATCAAAAACTGGTGAGCTGGAAAAAAACTCTTGAAACAAATATTCTTGTCTCAACTCTTTTCTACAATTTGATATATTCATACTTCTGTTTTGTGGCATTGAAATGGCTTCAAAATGAATCGCAATCGACCAATGTCTCCTTATTTTGGTGACTGGGGTTCACAATGTATGTGTTCATCAATATTAGAACATACATCAATATCTCTTATTATGTTCATAATTACAACTCAGAGTAGAAACTGTTGAAACATTATTTATTACAGGTTTCATTAGTGATAACCACCACTAGGTTTTATTCGAATTGATTGATAATAAATACTACTAATAATTGTAATTACTTTTTGTTGCTTAGTGTGGATGTTCGGAGGAATACAGTGGAATAATTGGTAGATCAAAAGTATCTGGTGTTGAGAAAGTGAAGTGTATAAACTCAGAATTTGAATCATATGAGTGAATCATTTGCGGAAGGTCAGCCTCACCCAATGAAGTGCATTAATCGAAAGATAGGCGCTCTTGGACAGTTTAGTATGATGCTACTGTAATAAGTTTCGAACCAATCAAAGATATTACTGATATTCCGGATGAATCATTACATAAAAAGTGTCGGGCCGATTTCAGGAGTATTGAAGCTCTGAGAAAATTGAAGGCAGAAGCCACATCGTCCCAGGACTTGTCTGAGCCATCCGAAACTTCCTGTTCATCTAGTCAGGTTGAGAAACATTTGAAACGGGATAGTAGCGGAAAATATGCGACATAAAACAAAAATTGTGTTTTTTCTGAACAAGAGAGCAAATATAAAAAATGAAGCAGGACCAGAGAAACACTTACTCAAGTTGCAGAGCTAATGATGAAAAATTGCGTGAAATCGCTATTGAGGGATGTGATGAAATGATCATAGGAATAACATCAAAAGATATTGTAGCTGCAGAGGCGTATCATCATAAATCTTGCTATTTCAGCTATACACGGATAAGACCTGCTGAGCTTGAAAATATCGACCACTATATTGAAGCAGAAAAAGTGGCATGGTTAGGTTAGGTTAGGTTCCATGTGAGTGGGGCGAACACCTCCCCTCCACTGCGACCCCAGATGGGTCTATTGTGGCTCACCCCTAGAGGTTACAGTTCACCGTACAATTCACATCTTTTTACAAAGTTCATGGTTGAATTGTGTGAGATTTGTCTAAAATCGATAGGTTCTAGGTTGGTAAAGCCAAATGTGTCGAACCTTAGTCTTTCTAAGCTAGAGCATGAACATAATATGTGTTCAGCCGTTTCGTCTTCCACACAACAGAACCGACAGTCCGTTTTTTGGTTCAGACCCATCCTTCCCAGGTGGTATCTTAGACGACAGTGTCCCGTAAGCAGTCCAGTCAGAATTCGCAGGTTACCCCTGCTCCATTCTAGGATCTGCCTGGTTATTTTTTCCGATGGATTAGGCAGGAACGCCTTCGAATGGGTTAATCCTGGTAATTCGGACCAGTACGTGAGTGTTTTTCCCTCCGCCCAGCCCGAGATAGTTGTTTTCGCCGCACTTGCGGTGACCCCAAAATATAGTTCTGGTCCTATGAACACAGATTCGGTTCCCTGTTTGGCGAGGATGTCGGCTTTCTCGTTACCCTCCACCCCCTGGTGTCCAGGCACCCACAGCAAAGTGACTCTGTTGTTAGCACCCAGGCTTTCTAGGGATTCAATGCAGCTCCATACAAGCTTGGAATTTATCTTGCTGGAGCTCAGTGCTTTAAGAGCAGCCTCACTGTCTGATACAATACTGATATTTTTGTTTACTAGAGGTTTATTCGACAACTCTCTAGCACACAATGCAATTGCGAATACCTCCGCCTGAAAGATTGTAGCATATTTAGCGAGATTGACGGAAATTTCCGTCTTCGGTTTTCTGCTGAACACACCGGCTCCCACTCCACGAGGGGTTTTCGAACCATCTGTGTACATTACGTGTTCGGTCTCTGGGAATCGGACTGATCCGCTTGCCCATTCGTCTCTCTTCGGAAAGAGGACTTTGAGAGACTTTTTCACGTGTGTCTGAGTGGCCAACATGTCGGAAACCATTCCTAGAGTTTGGTGATTTTTTGTTTCACACAGTATCCCGGAGTGGTCCAGCAGTCGCCCCCCTCTGATTTGATTTTCCAATGACAGGGATCTGTAGGAAACCATCCTGGCTTCCCTCTCCAAGACAATGTGGAGGGGAGTGAGGTGGCAGTGGCATACAAGGAATCATATAATTAAATACGAAATAATATATTCTTCAGCCCAAGGGTTGAATCTCTTTGTTTTCTGCTTTCAAAATAGTTGAGTACCTAGGAGATAATGTTGAAGAAATAATTGAGTCTGTCAAGAAAAATGTCGTGTCATCATCCCTACTATATAGTATCCTATGACAATGTAAATAATTGCCTAGAGTAATATATTGATTTGAACATATTTTTTCCAGGTATCTCATCGTTTTTGAGTAGCTCTCAATGAATCAATTAATTATTTTGAAGTATAAAAAAAACATTTATTTGTGTTTTATCAATTAACGGCTGCGAATATCAGAAATCTATAGAGAAATTTGAAAATGAGAGCTTTCATTTGAGCTCAAGAAAATTGAGATCGAATAATTATTTTCAGAGATACGATTGTTTTGTATGAGGACAACATCCACCATTTTGTATTGGCCGCCATTTCTCTTAGCTACCACTTCGTGGTGGCAATCTTGGTTTTAAGAGATCCTTATATAGGTACCTATATATCTGCCGTATGAAGGAAAATTGGTACCCCCAAATTATACCGAAATCTTGACTAGCCAATAGACTAAGAAGGGCCATAGTGACACACGTCACAGGAGGAGAGTGTTTAAAATTGCGCCCGAGCAAGGACTTTTCTCCTCACTTTTCTCCTATCGACAAAAATCCCACTGGTTCATTGTTTCTTGGTTAAAATTACTGAAGTATAAGGAGATATTCGAAATGTAAGTTTCACTTGACCAACAAATGATAATAACAGAGATTCAGTGAAAGTCAATAAAACTGTGTACAATTATTGTAGAGAGAAATTGACGTAATCGTTGTTCGAGTTTTGAAAAACTGGCTCAGTCAATGCTTTGTGATCTTGAGAACCGAAGACAACATTACTACAACATTTGGTAAACAATCATCCCCGATAGCCCGTTCCACGCAAATATAGAATAACGTTAATTTCTTTCCCTAATATACTTGTACGCTTTTTTTTACCACTCTACATGACGTAGGAAAAACTGCCGGTATATAACTAGCAAGAAGAAGTTATCCAAGACAGCAAAGGATAGTATAAGGTTTGCTCGCCAACAATTTTGAAGGTAATCAATTCACATATCACGAGGAATTGAAATGAAAAATATATTACCTGATAGGTAACCTCCCTTCACTCTTCCTCTCGTACACATGCGAAGCTATCACATCTCTGGCGAAGCCAAAATCTGCTACTTTGCAGGTGTGCTCCTCGGTAATGAGAATATTACGGGCCGCCAGATCACGATGTATTATCTGAAAAAAAAACTCTTATTATTGAATTATGTTTTTAATGTCATCTATGAGGGATACCGAATACATATTCCACAATCTTGACGAGTCATTAGACCGAGAGCGATCGATGAGACCTAATGCACCAAAACAGTATCTTCGATTTTGCTCGACGTGAAAAATAAGAATATATAAGTACCTGAGAGTGAATGCATTTGGTGGAATTATTCACTCCATCCGGTTGTTAGTATACCAGTTATTGAAGCGACGAAAAAATTCTTGTTGTTTCGATGATAAATATAAACAAAACGGTTATTAATTCAATAGGGAACTCACCCTACTAAAACAATTATATCCGATGGATATCATTATTTGGACGTTCTGACAGGACATTCAGGACGTTCGAATTTTGAACCGCGAACGTCGATTGGACGTCTGTGGAACGCACAAATCTCTTACTCGAGGACCAACTAGGGACATCCATGAGGGATGTCCCTGGGACAACTATCGAATATTCGAATCCTACATTATTTCTCATCAAGCAATACGATGAACATCCGAGGAATATTCGAAGGACATCCGTAGGACAAGCTATCAACAATGTTGAGGAATATCAATTGGATGTTCATAGGTCATTCCAGGAAAGAATTATTCTTGGATTTGATTTTTTTTTTGGCTTCCCTTGGAACAGATCTTGCATAACAGATGGTGGCATCAAGTTGAGTTGACGGTTCGTAGAAGAAGTCCCCAATAGATCCTGAAGAAGGTTTCCAAGAGGTCCCATCATGAAAAATTCCCTATGATGTCAAATGGAGTCACGTAAAGGACATTGACGGAGAGTATTTATAGCCTACGAGCAGTTATTCGTCGGCGAGGTGTAAGTTAACGTCCGCGCAAGGAGACGTTCATAGGACGTTATTTCTAGGACATTGAAAGAATAAATGATCATCCGCTTGCGGACGTCCTATGCAGGAATTCCTTCCGAAGTCATAATTTTAGTCAAGGACATTTTGAATGTTATATGATCCCGGATATATCAAGGGCGTTCGTGCAGAGATATTTGAAAAAAAAGTTATTCAATGTTCGACGTGGCATATAGCCAGAAAAGTTGTTGTTTTCTGTTGAATATTACAAATGATATGATCTACAATATATATTTTCATCTGAGAGTTGATGCGAACTCTTAATTTCAGAAGATTTCATTTAGAAATTCTTACTGCGTGTGTTGAATAGATGTAATTCAATGTTCGTCGTCCCAAGTAACATTTCAAATGCCTAATAGCTTCGATGAGACCTTAAAGAGGTTATGTGAGCGCAAATGATAGGTCTAATTTGTTCTACCGTTTTATGAATGCCCTGGAAAAAGCGTATTGGCCTTCATGTCCATATAATCCTATTAAAAGGCTTTAAGATACTATGATAGAACTATCGCATAAAACAAATTGGCATTCAGCTCACCTTGGTTTTAAGACAGCTCTGTGAGAGTCATTGAAATTCTTTATCAAAACTATTTACTCTTGACAACCCTCTTAAAACTCTTAAGTTTTATTAGTGTCTTGAATTTGACCAAGAGGTTCTGAACTAATCCTATGAAAATATGTCATAAAGCAATCATAGAACCAAATTCACACTAGGCCAATTAGGATTTGACTGAGGCAATAATGAAACCTATTGGCATTATTCTAGCTATGTGAAAGTAATTATTGAATCCTATAAGCCACAATGAACTCATCGAAGTCAATCATAAAATCTATAGGATTTATGAAGTTTTATTTAGAACCGTGTTAAACCCAAATCCCATAATATAAATGATCGTATTTTTTTGCCTACAGTGGCATATAGCCAGGAGAAAGCTGTTTTCTGTTGAAAATACCGATGAGGGATTATTGTTCTCTAATAGTATTTTAATTTGACACAATTTGTGATCTGCAGGAAGTTTGAGATGTCTAACCTTGATATTTTGAAGTTTGAATTGTTTTTGATGCGATCATTTGAGTAGTTCTGAACGCAATTTGTTTGTATGTAACAATATGAATTGATTACTATGGAAATAATTCTGAATTTCTGATTGGTGGTGGTACACTATGTACCTATATCCACGAATATTCGATATTATATAAGGTAGCTCAACTCACTTGAACGTTCCGATTGAATTAGAGAGAGAATAATGATATTGATAATATATCTGAAAATATTGATAATATATCTGAAAATTTTCCTTTTCGATACTTTCATACCCATTCGAAGGGTTCTAACTCGAAATATGGAAATTTGTTATTTTCACAGACCTCTAAGCATAGATACCTGATTGGGTTTTCGCAATTCAGAATTTGTTTTCACGTCCTGTATGATGAATATATTATAATGAATTTATGTTTATGTAGTCGGAACCCTAATAGCACAGAACGTCCTAGGAATGCCCCTATTTGGTTCAATTCAAGTCACAATGTCCAGGACGAAAAATAAGTGTCCTTGGGACGTCCCATCCCGAAAATTTCATGCAATGTGCGAGCAAGGACGTCCACGGAATGTCCCAATAGGTACATCATCTCAAATATCCTAGAAATAGCATCCCTTAGACGTTCCACGCGGTACATATTGTAGAATGTCAATGCAAGTACGTCCTTGACATGTCCCTGATAAGATATGATTTTAAGCGTTCCTTTAGGGACATCCATCGGATGTCCCGAGTAGTACATATTCTGGCATGACTTCAGAACTTGAATAATATCCTCTGTAGACAACCATGAAATGTCCCTGATGGTACATTCCTCCAAATAACTCTGCATAGACGTCCTTAATATTTCCAGGATTGTATAACAATCAGAATGTCCCTTAGGGATATCCGTCAAATGTTCAAATGATACATGAACTGCACTCTTCCAATGTCCTAGAAATAACATCCTACGGACGTCCCAGTCCTTATACTTATACTTATACCTCGCCGACGAATGATTGCTCGTAGGCTATGAATACTTTTCGTCAATGTCCTTCACGTAAGTCCATTGGACATCCTTTGGGAACTTTTTCAGGATCTATTGGGAACTTTCTACAGACCATCAACTCAACTGGATGTCCTCATCAGTTATGCAAGATGATTCGTACATCCCTGGGACATGGACATCTAATTGATATCCCTCAGCGTTGCTGATAGGTTGTCCTACGGATTCATGTATTCGATAGTTGTCCCAAGGACAACCCCCAAGGACGTCCCTAGTTGGTCCTCAAGTGGGAAATTTGTGCGTTCCACAGACGTCCAATGGACGTCCACGATATCAAATTCGAACGTCCTATGGACGTCCTGAATGTCCCGACAGGACGTCCTAAGGATATCCATGGGACATAATTGTGTTATTAGGGAAATTCATAGGTTGAAGTAGGAAATCCGCAGTTTTTATTTATTCATTTTATTGCTCATTTATATTCACCACGAAACGTTTTTTTTTGTGAAACTTTCCCAAACTCAATTTGCCAACTCGCCTAAGATTGTTGGGGTGGACCCCCCCCCCTCCTCCATGGGCCCCCTTTATTATGAAGGAGTCGACAGAAGGGCCAGAAGGCGCCTACAATCTTTGCTGGTGATAAAACTCCAACAAACTTATAGAGCAATAGCAACCGATAAATCTATATTCTGAAGCTGTGGTCATAGGCATAGGGGAGACACTTCACACGGCCCACACAGTTCATCTCCAACTCTCAATATCACGCAGACTTGTGTATATTATCATATGGACTCGTGCCTCGAGACTGCAGTGTTGCCAACACGGCTTATTAACCCGTAGAACTGGCCTTTTCCGTTTCAAGAGGTGATCTGGAGGGTAAATGTTGCATATCTAGCGGCTAGCGGATAATTTAGCCATGTGAGAAACCTTTAATGCTTCTTTCTGGCCTTATACAGGGTGGCCCTTTGAAAACGAAACAGAAGCTCTGTAGGTCGCCAAAACTGAATCATGAAAAAACTCTGGAATACGTCAGCTACAGGTTCGAGGGGGACATCCATGGAGGGGACATCGTTTTGAAATATTTTTAGCCCTGCGGCGTTGCCGCTTCTAACGAAAAGAAGCAACAACTTTGTTATTTCAAATGGAACACCATGTATTTCAGTGCATTTTGGGATTCAGCGGAAATGATTAGATAGTTATAGGGTGTTCAAAATCGATATTTTTCAACTTAAGATTTTTTTTTTGGGTAGGAACTATTCATCATTGGTCATAGGGGCTCATATAACTCTATCTCAACTTTCGATTTCACTATCTACTGACATTAATTTGCAACAAGTACAGGGTGTTCCAAGATTCAGAATTCTGATCACCCTGTATCTGTTCCAATTAAATGACAGTAGATAGTAAATCAAAAGTTGAGATGGAAACACCCTATATTCCTGAAATCATTCCAGCTAGACTTCAATTGTGAGGCATTGATGAAATCAGCTCTTTGGGGAGAATCTAAAAATTCAATGAAATACAAGGTGTTCCATTGGAAATAACAAAGTTTTTGCTTCTTTTCGTTGGAAGAGGCAACGCGGCAGAGCTGAAAGTATTTTAGAACGATGTCCCCCTCGAAAATGTAGTTAAGGTGTTTCAGATTTCTTTCATAATTTGGATTTGGCGACCTAGAGAGCCTCTGTTTCGTTTTCAAAGGGCCACCTTGTATAAATCAATATTTAAATAATTTGGTTTTGGCGACCTAGAGAGCCTCTGTTTCGTTTTCAAAGGACCACCTTGTATTAATCAATATTTAACCGAACTACATCAATCCATTTGAAGTAGGTACGACTTTTGACAGTACTGATGAATGCTTTCATAATTCTGCCACTTCTACCACAGAATAGTGGGTGATGCTATACTGACTAAAGAATGACAATTGACCACATAATTCAATTTTCAATCTTTTGTTATTGATTTGATTCCATGAAAAACTATATTTGCATCCTTATTTTCCCTAACAACACAGGGATGTCCTAGGTATGTCCCTTTTTTGTCCCGCGATACAAGGGGATATCCTGCAGTGGTTGTCTAGTGAAC